TCTTTCAAGAGCCACAGCGTGTTGTCGATAATCCGCCGACTGTAGAAGGTGTCGAAACCTTCTGGAAAGGAATCTACGAAACAACGCGTCCATTCAATAGCGACACTCCATCAATTGCACACTTCGAGGCTCTATGCCACAGACATCGTCAAGAGCCAGAAGAAGTGTGCCCGGCAATCAGTACGGAGGAAGTTCAACAAGCACTTGTTGGTACCAAGAACTTCGCTGCCCCGGGCCCAGACGGCATTAACAACTGGTGGTGGAAGAAATTTCCTTCCACTCACCGCCGTCTGGCGCGAGTTTTCAACTCATGGTTGAACGAGGGGCAGCAGATTCCGGACTGGTTCGTCGAGGGACGTACTGTGCTTATCCCCAAAAAGGGGGATCTCTCCGACCCGAGGAATTATAGGCCGATCACTTGCCTCAACTCCTGCTACAAGATATTTACACGTATCTTGTATGCTAGGACACTGAGGTCTGTTGATCCGGTCTTCCAGCAGATACACGAACAGCGTGGTGCCAAGAAGGGCATGGCAGGTTGCAAGGACAGCCTGCTGATAGACCGCTGTATTACACAGGATTCTGTGCAATACAAGCGGAATCTATCGATGGCCTGGATTGATTACCGCAAGGCATTTGATACAACATCGCACGAGCTATTGTTGTACTTGCTCGAATGTCTTGCGGTACCAGCACCACTAGTGAGATGCATAGAACAGCTGCTGCCGCTCTGGAAGACCCGCTTCACCATAACATCAGGTGCACAGCGGGTCACGACAGAGCAGGTGGCATTTAGGAGAGGAGTTTTCCAGGGTGACTCCCTGAGTCCTCTCCCTCTTCTGCATCTCACTGCTGCCGTTGTCTGTTGGGCTCCGCCAAACCCGCGGATATCAATGTGGGCCACCCAGCGACCGGAGGCATAAGGTCACCCATCTATTTTATATGGATGACCTTAAACTTTATGCCTCCGGAGAGCGTGAATTACAAAACGCTCTTAGGGTGGTCGAAGAATATACGCGGGCAATTGGTATGGAGTTCGGGTTGGACAAATGTGCAGTCGTCCACCTCAAGAGAGGACGATGCGGGGGAATTCCCTGAAGATGCGCAGCTCGCAGACGGAAGCAGCCTAAGACATCTGGATGCCGGAGAGACCTATACATACCTGGGTGTGCAACAAAGGCACATCTAAGATGTAACACAAATAAAAGGATTCTCTCCGCGGCAAGTACAGACACCGCCTCCGAAAGATTTGGTCTTCCGAACTTTCGGGGAAGAACAAGGTGTCTGCAACTAATATGCTTGCCGTTCCGATTCTGCTCTACTCCTTCGGAGTAGTAAAGTGGAGGGTAGATGAGCTGCGCCAATTAGACAGAGATACCCGCGAGATGATGAATATTCACAGAAGTATTCATCCTAGATCGTCCGTTCCTCGTGTGTACCTCTCACGTCAACGGGGGGGCCGAGGACTCTTGAGCCTGGAGTGTACGCATGGTAGAGTAGTACTGAGTATGGCATGTAACATACTCAGGAGCTCAGATCCCCTCTTGCGGTTCGTAAAACATCACGAAACTGTAGGAGTGGGAGCAGGATTGTTCAAGGCAGCAAAAAGAGCCGCAGATGAACTCGGTCTCGCATTTGACATCAGGCGAGGAGGCCGGCGAGGTGCTCATGTTGAGTCAGTCACGGAACTTCAGCCAAATCGTCTGAAAGCCCGAATTAGAGCTGCCGAACAGAAAAATCTGTTTCGGCAGCACGTCGATAAACCCCAGCATGGTGTCTTCTATAAGAACATAGAAACACTGGGTTTATCGACCAGGCTGACCTTCGCCTTTTTAAGGTCAGCAGGGCTTAAGTCGGAGACCGAGGGATTCATTATGGCTTGCCAAGATGGTGTTATCAACACCTTGGTCTACCGTAGCCGCGTGTGGCGTGTAGAGGTTCCTGATATCAACTGCAGGACCTGCCATCAGGCGCCGGAATCGCTCATGCATTTACTATCTGCATGCCCCATATATGCGATATCGGCTTACATCCACCGGCATAACGCGGCATTACGAGTGCTATACTACCATCTAAGGCACTCGTACGGGGTAGACCAGACACCAGTGCTGCCTTACGTCCCCGGAGATATTGAGTCCGTTGTCGAGAACGAGAAATGCCGGATTTACTGGAACTACTCGTTCCCGACTGTCAGGCTAATCCAAGCCAACAAGCCTGACATAGTCCTCCTCGACCATCAACTCAAGGTGATGTATGTCATCGAGTTCTCGGCACCTGCGGAGAAAAACATCTCCTTGAAGGAGGAGGAGAAACGGACCAAATATCGCGATCTCCGGTACGAGCTCCAAGTGCTGTACCCAGGCTACTCGGTCAAAATGGTCGTCCTTATTATCGGTGTACTCGGAGGGATAAAGCCTACGCTACTCTCGGACCTGAAGATCATACCGGCCTGCCAAAAATCAGCTGAGTGGCTGGCAGGCCAAATGCAGAAGGCGGTCATTCTTGGTTCTCTCCGTCTGCTTAGGGCACACGATTCCGGAGCCTACAGTCACTAACCCTGCGGGATGTGGGGAGTGACTGAGGTTAATGTGCTGGCGCGACTCCCGTGAGGCGTCGGAGGCCACGGGAGGACTGTCCAGCGTCGGGCAACCGAAAAAAAAAAAAAAAAAAAAAAAAAAATGTATTCAAGTCATTAAAGACAGAATTCGACTTGAAATAAACAATCTGAATGTAAATAATGAAACCATTTCCGGTGCAATTATAAATATAAGAAGACGTTATCATTTATGCATTGACAATAATGGTAGACACATCGAACATCTTTTATGAGTTTATTTATATTTAAATTTCCTAAATAAATCTTTGTTACCTACTTTGTATAAATATTTGGTTTGTTTCTTCCTCACTGTAAACAATTTTGATTATTTCATTAAAGAAATGTCATATTTACGGTAACTAGTTTAACTAAGATATTCGACGTTTAATAAAGCAAAAACGGTATATGGTAGGGGTAATATATGGTACATTTTTGAAGTCATGAACAAAGGATCTTTCCAAAAATTTAATAATATACATCCTATTAAAAAAATATATATTATTTTTTGTATCCCTTGAAATCTGCACGCTACTATACTTTGATAGCACTTTAACAAAATTCAGTCAGAACCACACAACTTTTATTTAAAACTGTTTTCTCTATAGGCAATAATAACAATGATAAGGGGTGGGTAATTTATAATAAATAACCCTGTACAAAATTCAAAAAATTGTATTTATAGCATCCGATGTGAATGTGGTAAATATTATATCGGTGACTTTCAATGTGCGACTCGCTAACACAAGAATTATACTACGAAAGGAGAATTTGAGAAGCCAAAAATTTTTAAACATGCCTGGAAAAGCAACACCACGGATAATACAACCCCCTGTACCCCTGAAGGTAGGTATTTAGAGATATCTTGTGCTGGAGAAGTCTACATATTTAGAGGCAACAGACACACACCCAATATCTGAGTAGGCTAGGATTAATTCTTGTTTTGGAGAAAATTCCAGCTCATCGACCAGGTATTGAATGCCAAACTCCATGGTAAGAGGTAAGTGTCCTTACCGCATAATCACGAAGCCATAATTATTTTATTATACGGTGATGAATATGTATTTAATGATTCTGCCGATTTTTGTAGTAACTGATTAATAATTCCAAGACGAGGTGTATAGATACAACGTCAATATAATTTAAGGTTTCCAGTGGTTTAGCCAGGAAAAATACAGAGAGGGCTAATTTGTTAAGGATAGGCTCCAAACTTAAACATTTTTTATTGCATAAGTCAAATGTGTACTTCAAAATAAATATTGATATTAATATTCGTCTCTTGAATAAATAGTACTAACAGCAGTGAATATTGCCACACAATTTAGGTATTCCCTGCAAGAGTGGTGGTAGATGTTGCCTTTATTAGCTATAGCAGGCCGTTAAAAGAATATAGTCTGTTTAGTTCGTATTTGCTTGCACTGCTAGTAAAAATGCCAGACCAAAAATGTGAAAATGTATATTTAATAAAATAATTTCAAAGTTTGACGTATAAAGTACAATTTTAATTATGGGTATAGACAATTTGGAAATAATAATATGCAATGGGATTTAACAGTGATTAGCAAAAAAGTAAATTTATAAGTAAGAACGTAGGTTATGGCATGATAAAGGAATGCTGGCAGTAGCTCTAGGTGAGGTTTGTTAGGTCTAAAGGCCTCACAAGTAAGCCGCGTTCTAACGCGCTTCATGACGCGGCGCAATTAAGGTGAAAAATCCAAACTGAATTTGTTCTGTATTGTATTCATTGTCAGCGTTGTTGGCGCGCTGTCGCTGCTTACTTGCCAACCCAACAATATTTTCTGTGAGAATAGATGCAACAACGTCAGTTTGGATTATAGCGCCGTGTCATGAAGCGCGTTAAAACTCGGCTTACTTTACGGACCTTAAGTGGGGCTTAAAAAAAACAACCTGTGATTAATCCTTTTGGCGCAGAGGCTTATTTGAAAAAATTTTGAATAAACTGTAGGACAGTGGTTTAATATCTAAAAAAAGTACAAGACGCGTTTAAATACTTGGTTTAATATACATTTTTGTTATTTAAGTTAATAAACTTACGGACTAATACCAACATTTTAAAATGCTCCTTAACTCAAAAAGAGTGTTAGCAACAAAAAAAGTGATTACAAACGAAATGTAAATACCAGCTAGTTGTTATTTCCTTTAATAAGTTAAAGGAAGTTTAAAGTGTATGTGATAATATGTACGTTTTGTGGGTAAAGCTCGGTTTAAGTTAAAGGCCTCTTAAAAGCTTTGATAATATTGGCCGTAAGCAGTTTTATGCAAATTATAATCGAAATAATCTGTATAAATGTTTCTTGTGTAAACAAATTATATGTATGGATTTCCATCCACACAATATCTATTCTTAATATATGTATATATTATGTGTGTGTGTGTGTGTGTGTGTGGCTTCGTGGTCGAGTGGTAAGAACACTAGTCTCTCATTATGGAGTCCCAGGTTCAATTCCCGTTCGAGGAGCTAGGATTCTTTCTAAACCAGAAATTAATTGTAGCATAATCGATCATTGGGTGTGTGTCCATTGTCCTTAAATGTGTAGCCCTCTTCCGCACAAGGTACCTCAAAGTACTTTCAGGGATACAGAGGGTTGTATTACCTGTGGTGTTTAATATAATAGAAAATCTTATGATTGTTATATGTGCATAAAATAGATTCAAATGATATAACAAATGGGTAAATGTTTGAACCTTCCTAACATTTTTAGGTTCAGTCTTTGTAGATTAGTGATAACAGTTTGTATGATTAATATTTCGATTATTTTATTTGGTATAATAAAATGTATGTGTACCTTTACTTATATTTTGAAATTCTTTCAACTGTCCAAGAACATTTTCATTTACACAACCTGCTATATTACAAAAATTATAGAAAATGTGGAATATTTAGAAGAGGGACGGATTTCATTCTAATTTCTTTTTCTGTACTTAAGATAATGAAAAAATCGTGTTAGCTGTGTTTAACATAATCTTAAAGTGTAAGGTATTTTTTCTTGTTTTCCTTTAATAGGGATGGGGCGAAATAGACAAAATACTAAAAGTATGATATATTAAAACGAAAGCTTTAGAAAAACTATGTATCTTATTTAAACACTAATTTATTGCATTAACTCAAAATAATAAAACAGCAAGTCATATTCCTTAACGTCTTTCTTGAATATTGAACAATGCTCAGTTCAATTCCGAAGAAAAATCCATTTTTGTATATTACTGACGTAGTTTTCCATAAAACACCAAAACACCATATACTCCAACCAAGATGGTAACATCTGGAGATGATTAAAACTAACCTTATGCTAACAATGTTTCCTATTTATACCTAAACTATTACTATGGTTCAATAACGGTGACTCGCTATCCAATAGAGCGAGCAATGTGGGATTGGTCCTCTGTCACTATTCTACTATTTTTGCTCTTTGTAATTTCCAAGCTCTCAAATGCATCCAGTTGTATTGTATTTGTTACATTCTTAATTAATTTTAAATTGCTACCATATATTTTATGGTTGTTCTCAAACGAATGTTGAGCAAAACTAGACTTATCTGTTCTACCATATTTGAGATGAGCCATATGTTCCTTGAATCTAGTTTGAATTGAACATCTAGTTTATCCAACATACTTTTGATTACAGCCCTTACAGTTAATTTCGTAAATCCCCCACTTTTCATTTTGTTTCAATTTTGTCTTTTGGATTGCCTAAGAGTTGTAGTTTATTTCCTGATGAACGAACCACTATTATACTTATATCTTTAAAAATCTTACCAATACCACAGGTGAATCAAGGATCGTATGAAATCGATAAAAATTTCGGATTTTTTTTTTCATATTGAAAGGGCATTTCGGAATGTCTCTTTAAATTTACGTTTCCTAATTATTTTATTAATTAAACTTATTTATCCATTACCCGCACATATATCCTTAATCAATATCTTTTCTTTCTCAAGCCTTTCCTTATTGAGGGGGAAGCTTAATAGGCGATGAACTAGAAAATTAAAACTCGCCATTTTGTGTTGAGCACAATGGTGAGAGTTCTTAGGGCATTCCAAGAGACAAAAATGAATCAAACGGAAAGTCACGATTTACGAAATCAGCTATAAGGACTGTAATCAAAAGTATATTGGACAAACTAGAGTATCAATTCTAACTGATTCAAAGAACATATGACTCATTTCAAATATGGTAGAAGAGATAGGTCTAGTTTTCCCAATATGCGTTTGAAAACAACCATAAAATAAATAGTAGTAATTTAAGATTAATTAGGAATGTAACGAATACTAGACAGTTGGATGCATTTGAAAGCTTGAAAATTACAAAGTGGAAAAATAGTATGAATGGTGACAGAGGGCCAATCCCATATAGTCAGCTATATTGGTTAGTTAGTCACGGTTCACTGAACCGCAGCTTAAGTTTAGGTATAAGTAGGATACATTGTTGGCAGTTTAATAATCTCCAGATGTTGCCAACTTGGTTTGCGAAACGCGCGTCGGGTACAGTATAATATGATGATTTGGTGTTTTATGGAAAATAACGTCAGTTATTTTCACATCAAAGATTTCCAACCCACTATAGGTCCATTTTTGTATATCAAAATAGTAGCCAGTTTGTATATAAAACTTGTATATAAAATTTGTATTTTTAGTGCCTATTTATTAATTTTTAAATAAAGGAAGTTTCAATTTTGAAAAATATTGTTTAATTTATATTATACAGGGTGTTCCAAAAGTAATTTGCAAAACTCCGCGGATAAAACACTCTAAAGTAACATAAGTTTGTGATAAATCAAACAACGATTGAAGGAACTAATTTTTTTCGAAATATCTCGGGAACCACTTAGGATGTAGTGAGTGTGAATGTATGAAAACTATAATGATATTCTATAGACTTTATTTTTTTTGTTAATAAAGGTCAATTTTTTACCTGCAACTTTGTTAACATAAATATATTTTAATAATTAATCTGAACTGCCAAGCGAAGAATCTATGGTACTTCAATTTTATTTCGATCTAAGCTTCCAATTGTCGCCAAAATCTCTTGTATTACTAGTGGTGTCTATTAATATGAATTTTATTCTCACTAACATATTTTTTTTTTATATGCCGGAGGATTATTGACTGAGATAAAAAATTCACCTTTGTTATGAAAATTATTGTGGAAAATTATTTCATAATGTTTCTTCTGAAACTGGTATTTAGATGGAACGGATTAGTTCAAAAGTCTTGTTCATTAAAAGTTTTTGCCCTATATTTATTACTAACATGAGTTTATTTCAGGTGAAATTATGTCTCTGAATCTCATAAACATACTGTATATTTTTTGAAAAACTGTATTGGTTAGAAGATGCAAAATCAGAAGCAAAAAAATATAATTCTCGCTACTTGAGAAATATTAATATTAACAAAGATTCAGTCTTATACATATTGTGGCAGCATATCATAAGGGCGTAAACATCTAAACAAGTGCTATGATTATACGCCCTTATGATATGATGCCCTGATATGTAAATAATGTGAAATGATTTCAGGGGATTTCAGTATTATAATACATATGTATTATGGTTAAATGGAAATGATCTACAAGGCTTCTGCAATATTAGACTTTACTATATTTGAGAAACTGTCTACTGCAAATGTATAAAGCACTGAAGCACAACTGCATTAATATCTATATGTATAAAATACTACATAAAATTACCTTAATTATTTGTATAAGAACTCAGGATTAAGCCGGTGATGTGTCTCGGTGATACATATAATATACAATATGTATGTTAGGTTTTATGCGTTTTTGTATCGCATGTTACAATTATTGTAAACATCAGAAAAATAAGTGCATCAAACAAATTAAAATACATAGGACTTCAATAACTTTAATAAAAACTTTTATCAATTTAAACAAATGGCACTGAAATTGTTATATATTATAATTTATGAATATAAGATTTACTGACTCTAGTCATAGAATATTTTTGACAACTAATGTAGATCAAAAAACAAAACATTTTCTCAACGTTTCGGGAACGAAATCCATTTCTTTTGGCAAAAGGTTCATAGCTTTTATGAAATACGTGTACGTCAAACTCAACGTATATTTTTTTTGTTTACATGATATCCACATATGCTTACATAGAACTGTTGATAGATTAGTAACAATGGTTTTGAGTTTTACTAGTTTTCTGCACTAGAAGGTCTATTTTTCCGTATGATACTAGAAAACCATATTTATAGATACTGTTCAATCTTAGATGATTTATTCCTGTGGAAGTGTCTCAAGAAAGAAAAAGAAAATGAAGAGGATCCCACAAATTATACTTAGATAATATTAATTAGTAGTAGGATAGTGCCGAATCTGGCACACTTTCCCATGTAATTTTTTATACGACTACGTCGAAAATTTGTATGGTTGCGGGGGGAGGTTGTAGGTGCTGGGGAGGTAAATCGTAGTATCGTGGAATTTATGATTGATAATTAAAAGAACGATTTTGACTAATAAAATCCTTTGTTATTATAAAATAAAATGGCGGTTCTAAGTTCGAGGACCTAAATGGCAGTATCCTTGTGGTGGGTGGGCTATTTATTTGATCTGTTCAAGTTGTTCGAGTAGTTTACGAAAAAGAAACATCTGAACATTCTTAAACAGATAAAAATGTTTGAAGAACTGCTAAAATATCCTGTTTTAACTGCTCTAAGAGATCGAATAGGTCTATGACTATTACTTAGCCCGCCCACTACCACGATACTAGGCTTTAGCTTCCGTGCATCTAAACCGCCTCTCAGGAACCATGAAAATTTTCGACGTAGCCTCATGGGAAATGCACCAGAATTGGCACTATCCTACTACTTTAATTCTTTATGAAAATATTATAAATACGTCTGGTGTTAGGAATAAACATAATTTAAAATTTTTAAACATAACTTTATAGAAAAAAATAATGCATCCTTTCAAAGCTAATGTGATAATAATAATAATTAACTATACCTCTTGTTGTAATCCTTTTATTTCAGCTTTATTTATTTTGAGGATTTTGTCAACAAACATGCCACATTTATAAATTACCTACCCAATCTTTGCTCTACTATTACACACCCACACCGATACATTTTTTAGATAACATGTGTCTTATTATCTTGGCATGCTGTACAAGAGATGAAAGTTAAATTTTTTACTTCGTGAGTTGCCTTCTTGACCTTCGAGCCATACTTCCTCTTATAAACTGTGGGTTTTTGGTAAACGTGATTGAATAATCACAATTTTGTGCGTTCTAAGTAGTAAATGTATGGCGTATTTGCGTTCTTTATAGAAAAATGAATTCTTTCATCTTTACATGAAGAAAAGATGATAAGTAGTAATAAAGTATAACTTATCGATTTAGTTTTTATACTTACAATTCTACTCGAGTATGACATCTAGGTCTATTGAGGACAACACATAAAATAACACACACCAGAAACTCATGACATGTGGAAAAGG